TATGTTAATATATATTTATCATATTTATTTTAAATTAAATTTATTTTTTTAAAAATAAATTATCTAATTAAAAATAATCTTATATCATTATTTATTATAAAACTAATATAATTTATATATTCAAATATAATATTTATTTTTATATATAATTTATTGTAAATTTTAGTTATATATATATAAACTTGTCATTAACAATTTCTATCTCACAGTAAAATCTAGATATGTTTTCTGTAGTAAAAAAACTAGACGGTACAGATATTGTAGTTGTCCATTAATTTCAGCAACGTTAGATCTGAACAACATCGTTATAGCATAATTATCCATGAGTGATTGTATAAATATATTCATTGATATATATTAAAAAAACATATATATATATAGTAACAAAGGTTAGATAAAACTACTTTAACAGACACGATATACTTTATATGTTTGCATGCATGAGAATATATGGTGGGCAAAACACCAACATGGTATTGGACTATATTTTAATACCTAAAGACAAGGAGCATATATCTCTATAAATTGTGGCTTCACAAGGTTGGGTTTCTCAAACCTTAATTTACAGTTGCAAGTGTAGCATATATATCCATGGAAGCATCAAGAAAGGTTACGATCCAAAATGCTCTCTGCCCTACAAACCCTCCTCCTCCAACCAGGGCAAATGCTTCAAGCTCTGAGCCTGCTAAACCACCACCCACTATACAACAAATCTTTACCAAAAACACCAACAAGAAATGACTCGTTAGTCGTTATATACATCACTACTATTTCCGCTGAACTTGCTGGCTAGCCTCATCAATGTTATTGCTATCTTCAAAATATATGGTCATCACGTGCATGAGGATCGATCACTTATATATATACTCTTGCAAATTCATATGTAGTGTCATATATTAGCCTTCGATGTGTAATCACCTTATAGTTTTGTGATTGCCTAGTTTGCTAAGGTTATACGTGAACTTTCATGTGTGGAGGAAGAAGATAAATATTACGTAATATATAATACTTATTTGCGCTAATTATCTCCTTCAAAAAAAAAAAAACTTATTTCCGTTCAGAGGTATATATAAATACTTATACATATGAGTAGCCAAATTTAAAATTAATTTTTTAGTTTTTTATAATTTAAAAAAAAAATATTTTAGCTTTATATTTAAATTTTATTAAAAAATTTGTTAAATATTATAGCATAATATCTATCAGTAAAAATATCACATTAAACTTAATTGATATTACATAATTATTTTAATCTATCGTTTTTAGATATGTTATTTGTGACTTAAGAAACTAAAATAAGATTTTAAAAAATTACAATAATTAAAAATAAATTTTTAAATTTGAGAGATCAAAATTAAATTTATCATAAATTTGAAGGAATAAAATTATATTTAAGTTTTAAAAAAATAATAGTGTAAAAATAGGATTTGAAGGATCATGAAATTGAGAGCAGAAAAATAAGACTTAAAGAATAATAAAAATGAGATGTAAATGTCTTTATTATCGGAGAGAATCAAGAAAAGGACAAGAATATCAAGAGTAGTTAGAAAGAGATTTAGTAGATGAGGGAGAGGGTTTGAAAGTAAAATTTTATTTTTAAAAAATGAATAAATTAAAGGTATTAAGAAAATCCTTTAGAAAAAGAGAAAAAAATGGAAGCGTTTTTTTTACGGCAAAAAGAGGAACTTTTTTTTTATTATTTTTTTATATATGAAAATGTCACCTTTTGATTTTTTAACTATAACAATACCACACTACACATTTTATTCATGAAAATGCCACACATTCTTCAATAGTGAGACGTTGGGAATGTGAAATCTGACTTCTTAACATGTTTCTTTTTTTACTTTAAATTTTAATTTATAAAAATATTTTTTAATATATTAAAATATATTTTTAAAAAAAAATTAAATACATAATAAACTTAATAAAATAATTTATAAAATAGTAAATACATAATTGAAATATTTTATTAAATTAATTTAAGTATAAATTATTATTAAAAATTTGTATAATTATTTTATTTACTTAGTTAAGTTCTTTAAAATTGTTATAAAGGTTAATTTTTGTATAATATGTTTAATGTGTATGATATTTTTATTGTTTGAACAATGATTAATACTCACAATTGTCATGATTGTAAATTTAATAGAGTCACTTTCATGTCCTGAATTGGTTCTAAAAAGTTTTCTTAATAATATCAAAAACTATATTAAAAAAGTGCAATACAAAAAAAGAAATTAAAAAAAAAATTCAATGTCGAAGATGACCATCAATCTCACAAGGTGGCAGTTTTTTTATTTCGCAGAGAATTTTAGCAAGGACAAATTTGTCTTGGATATCATGAATTAATTGTTGACAAAAGTAAAAGAAGTATTTGCCTCTCATTAAAGATAAGATTCATGTTAGTTAAAAAATGGGATATCGTTATGACACATACTTTGCAAATATGTTGTAGTTGATTGTGGCAAACCAACATTTACAACAAATAGGTTATTAACAAATTTGTATGTTGTTGATGCAAAAGAGTATTGATCAAAATGTTCTTATGTTGGAGGAGTTACAACAACTAAATAAAATTGTGATTCCCAACTATCATTTTGCATATTATCGATAACAATGGGGTTAGAATATGGAGTTGCATTTTGTTGTAGACATTCTTATTATATTGGCATTTTTGTTGGCGCTTGTGACATTTGGCCAACATTTATGTTTTTTACAACTCGTGGGTCATGTAATTGTTGGGGCAGAAATAAGTAAAGAATTGTATTTTGTTTATATCATGTCATATATTCATCTGTATGGCATTTATAATTAAATTTTAGTCTCATGTTGTTGATCCAAATTTATAAGCGGTTGTGATATATCATGGCATAAACCAAATTGGAATTTTATGTTATCCACTTGTTTCCATTCAACCACTGTAAAACAAATTAAAGGGTACAAACGTTACACATTGTTGATTTTTTAAATACATTTTTTGGTAGTATGCGCTCATAACCTTTATAAGACATCCAAAGGATCTATAAAAAGAATGAATATTAATGTCTTAATATATGAAAAATAACAATTTAAAAGAAATATGTATACCTCTGTATTTTGCATATGATCAATTCTTGACCTATACCCAACTAGGTCACATTTTGGTGTCCCTGAATGCCTCAACCCCTTACCACCCCATCTGGTACAACATATATGACATGAGTAAATAAACAATAGTAACTACAAATTGACGGTTGAGATCGCATCGATTCAAATCCAGACACGTTAGACAACTTTAAAGAGTAGGGGTATAACAATTCTATAAATAAGAGTAGTCTTTTGATTTTTTTACACAACACTTAATCCCTTAATTGATAAACAATCTTAAAAAAATTATGGCTAGTTCTAAGAGAGAAAATATATTTATGTACTACAATGGTGGCATGGTGACATGATTGTTGACAAAAAAGTAAGGGCATTGTATAGATGCCCTCGACCAACATCGATAGTCATGAGATGAGGCTTTTCATTAGAAGAGTTGAAACATGAGTCAACAACGAATCCAAATTACTCATACCCAAATGGTTGCTTTATTTTCGCCACATATTACTCGTTGGAGGTTCTTATGTTAATTATGGGTCGATACTTCTTAAAGATGACGAAGACATTTGAATGATGTTTTTTTTGTTAAAGACAATTACAATAGTATTAGATGCATTAAAATATATGCAACATTAGAGGATATTCTCAAGTTTCCAAGTTTTCAACCTAACTTTTATTTTCGTGAGTATTATCCTTCTCAACCTAATTTAAAAAATAAGTTTTAAAAAAATAAGAGGTAAATACAATATTTCCTAGGTAAAATAAGTTTAAATTGAACTAAAATAACTTAAATTTAGTCCGTATTCATAATTTAAGATCATCTAAATATTTCATCTAACATATTTGAATTAGGTTAGTCTCGAATACAAACTATAACATGTCAAAATAAAAAATAAAAAACTATTTATTTTAGGTTTCCAAAATAAGGTCCAAACCTAAACACTCGAATTATAAGGCTTTTTACGTGTTAATTGAAGCATAATTAAATCAGGCTAAAAATAAAACCAAATTTGATTTGTGCTCAAACATTAAAGTCCAAATTTCATATTTTATTGAAAGGTTTCTTGTAAATTGAAGTATACCTTAACTATAAAAGAGGGAGAGAATGAAAGTAAATAGTTTTCTTTTACTATAGTATTAATAGTAATATCTTTTAACTTCATTTGGAGGAATTTTTCAGAATTTTGACTATATTAAAGTTATTTCTTTTAAAATCATTTTTTTTATTAAATTTAATATTCGAACCCGATACCAGAAACAAGGATCAACCAAGGCTTTGCTTTTAAAATTTATATATTTTTTAAAAATACTAAAAAATACCTTCTTTTGTTTTTTTCTTCAAACAATAACCTTTATTCTTTTATTTTAAAAATAGAAAAGCGTTTAGAAACAAATGTCAAATAGGAGAATGTCTACTCTCTTGTCTACTGTCTAGCTGTAACCCAACATATAAAAATGGAGCGATCCAAATGTTACACAAGCATCGTTCCTAGAAATTTAAAGACGTATAAATATTTTTTTCAGAAATATTTAATGTATTATAAATGATCAATTTTTATATTAGTTTTTTTTAATTGTCAATAATTTATTAACTTTTACAATTAAATTATTTTTATATTTCTCTCAACACTTTCATTTAAAAAAATATAAAGATTAATACAATAATTATCAGTTCATCATCATCTAAAGTTTTAATTTTTGAATTCAAATAATAAGCCAAAAATATTTTTTTATTGTAAAAGTATTCAAATCGATTTCAATAAGAGAATTAGATTCATTTATTATTTTATAGAAAATATTCAATACGTTTACATTAAAAAAATTCATTTGAAAAATTATTGTGACTTAATAAGATTTTTTATTTTATTTTATTCTAATTCATTGTTTATTGTAATAACAAATATGACCGTTGTTTTTCATCATATTTGTGAGACCCTATCTTCTTCCTTTCCATTTTACCCTTACCCTCTCCTACTCACACTCACTCTACCAAACTCTCCTCACTCTCAACACTCTCATTCACTTCTTTCCCACGTTTCTGATTCATTCTCGTTGCTTGATTTAAGGTGCTGGTAAAGAGTAAGAGTTGGATTTTCTAGCTGAACCGTGCGGAGCTCTTCTTCTTCTTCTTCCTTTCTTCCCTGTTGAGCATTGTCTTCTACTTCCTGGAGCCCGGATTTATTCACCAAGGTAAGGGAAGCTAGTTACTTTGCTATTTTTGGTTGGGAATGAGTCTTAGATACTCATTTGCTACTTGTTGATGGATGATTTGTGGCTGAGATTGCTGAAAAATGATGATTTGGGGCTTTCGGGTTTTGTGGGTTTTGAGAAAATTTTGGGCTTTTACTTGTTTTATGGTTGCATGTGAAAAAGGTTGGTGTTTTTGAACTCTTGGTTGAAAATGTGAACTGTTGGCCGGATTGCATGTTGGATTTTCTGGATATTTTGCAGGATTGGTGAAGTTTTTCGAACTTGAGGGGTGACTGATGAGCCTCGCGCTGAGCGCGGTTCTTCGCGCTGACCGCGGTTCTTCGCGCCGGGCGCGAGATCACCTAGGGGCTCCTTTTTGACAAGCCCGCCGGGCGTAAAGATGTGTGCGCCGGGCGAGCTTGAGAAGGTGAGCCTCTGGTTGGTCCACGCCGGGCAGGTCAGGGATCGCGCCGAGTGCGCAGGCAACATTTTGGGTAGTGGTTCTGCGCTGAGCGCGACCCTAGTCGCGCTGGGCGCGAGACTCCTTGGGAGTCTCTGCCAGGAGGGCGTTGGGCGCAATTCTAATTGCGTTGGGCGCGAGACCAAGGGGAGGTCTCTGCCTTCCCCGCGCTGGGCGCGGGTCGAGGCACGCTAGGCGCATGAGACCCCATGGGGTCTCTGCCTAGCCAGTGCTGGGCGCAATTCTAAATTGCGCCAGGCGCGTGAGGGGGTCACGCCGGGCGCGAGCGGTCTTACGCTGGGCGCGTTGATCCCTGATGCTCTCTGGTTGAGCTGCGCCGGGCGCGACCATGGGTGCGCCGGGCACGACCATGGGTGCGCCGGGCGTGTAAGAGGTTGATAACTTGATGTGTTTCTAGCTGTTAACCTAAGCCGAAATTGATAACCTGTTATGCTGTAAATGCTGATATAAGATGTTAAGCTGTAATAGATGTAAATTGCTGTGCTGAGCTGGGCTGTTATTAATGATTCTAAATGCTTATGTATAATAATGTTGTGCTCTAGAATGATGAGCTGAGGTGTGAGTAGTAAGCTGTGTTGAATACTACTAGTTGTGTTGTATGCTGATGTGTTGTGTTGTGCTGTGAGCTGTGGTGATGTGTTGTTCATTTGTTGAGCTGTATGATGTGATTAGCCACTATTGTGGTGCTGTTATAGCTACTATGTCGGTGCTGTTATAGCCACTATTGTGGTGCTGTTATAGCCGCTATGTCGGTGCTGTTAGCCACTATTGTGGTGCTGTTACAGCCGCTATGTCGGTGTTGTTAGTCACTATTGTGGTGCTGTTATAGCCGCTGAGCGGTGCTGATATTGTTGAATGGTTGTGGTGTAGTATAAGTTGTGCGGGTGTGCTGATAGCTATAGATGTTTCTGTTCATATATTTAAATATGTATGTTGATTTCTGTACACTAGCTTACCCTTTGTTGTCTCCATGATGTTTGGACTGCGATGATCATACTATGTATGGGAGCAGAGCAGGGATAGGTCGATGACTGGTAGTTGGGCTGTAGCTGGCAGTCGGAGCTGATCCTCTTGGGATGTATTGTTTTGTTTTGTTGTTTAGCTACTCGATGTAGTAGTTGATGATGTATCTTATTTTGTACACTCTAACTCTAGTCAGATGGGAACTTTGTATGTATATATATTCTAGATCCTATATTTATATACTTGTTCTATCTGTCTGGTGTTTCCGGTGTGTTGTGCCGAGTGTAGTGACCAGCTGGGTCGTTACACTTTAGTGGTATCAGAGCAGTTCGAGTCTAGTGGACACTCTTTGGGGGTGGTTCCTTTAGGCTTTTGTTGTGCTGAACTCTGTGTTGTGCTGTCTTGCTGTGTTGTTGTTGTGCTGATTGATGTGTTGTTTGTTGTGTTGTTGATTGCTGTTTGGTCTAGTTATTGTGTACTAAAGATGTTGTTACTTTTGTAGACAATGTCTAGAGCCAACGAACAGATAGCCCGTGCCATGGAGATGATGACCATGGCTATGCAGCAACAGAATGCCTATTTTGCTAGGGCAGAGGCGGATAGAGCTGCGGCTGGTGCAGCAAGGCCCACTGGGTCACAGGAGAGTCGGGACCTAGCCGAGTTCCGAAAGTGCCACCCTCCACAATTCAAAGGGGATGCAGATCCAGAAGTGGCTAACCACTATATTTGCGAGCTTGAGAAGATTTTTACAGTGTTGGGCTGTTCGCAGGAGCGGAGGTTGGCATATGCTGTATATATGCTAGTTGGGGAGGCAAAGCATTGGTGGAGAGGTACCCATCACATGCTGACCGCCAGAGGGGTGGTTATTGATTGGGAATGCTTCAAGAGGGTGTTCCTGGAGAAGTATTTCCCTGAGAGTGTGAGGCATGCCAAGGAAGCTAAGTTCATGCGATTACACCAAGGAGGGATGACTGTTTCCGAGTACGCGATGAAATTCGAGCACCCGACTCATTTTTATTCGCAAGGTATAGCTGAGGCCTGGAAATGTTGGAAGTTTGCTGAGGGTCTGAAATATGATCTGAAGAGGGTGGTGGTGCCTATGGCCATCACGGAGTTTCCAGCCTTAGTGGAGAAGGCGAAGGTGGTTGAGCGATTGGAAGGTGGTAACCGTGGGGTGAAGACTGCTGAGGGACCAGCTGGGTCCAAGAAGGGAGGGAACCAAAGGAATCCGTATGATAGGCCCCAACCTCTACAGGGTGGAGGTGCCACTCTGAGATGTTATAGGTGTGTCGGGCCCCATTTTGTCAGGGATTGCCCGCACACTGAGAGCCGTTGTTTCAGATGCCACTAGATGGGCCATGAGTCGGCTAACTGTCCTACTAGAGATATACCAGGGATGAGTGATGCATAGAGAGGTGGTGCCCAGAGGGGTAATGCTCAGAAGGGTGACAAACCCACTACAGCTGGTAGAGTATTTGCCTTGACTGGGGCTGAAGCTTCTACTTCCTCAGATCTTGTGAAAGGGAATGGTAGAGCTGCTGGTAAGGATGTGACGTTTCTTTTCGATTCTGATGCATCTCATTCCTTTATATCTTATGCATGTGCTGTTATACTGGGTGTGCCTGTGTGTGATTTGGGGTTGAGACTGCTAGTGTCGACGCCCGCTTCTGCTTCGGTAGTTGTTTCTGAGTTGTGTGCTGGTTGTCCGATTGTGGTGAATGAGAGGAGGTACAAGGTGAACCTGATCTGTTTACCTTTGGTGGATATTGACATAATCTTAGGGATGGATTGGTTGTCTGCCAATCGCATTCTTATAGATTGTGCCAATAGGAGGTTGACTTTTTCTCAGGAGGAGAATGAGCTGTTGATTTCAGCTGGCCAAGCTGAATCATTGTTGAGAGATGGAGCAGAGTTCTGTCTTCTGCTTGTTGCGTTGAGTGTTGAGATCGAGCGGGTCATTTCTGAAATTGATGTGGTGCAGGATTTTGCTGAGGTGTTCCCGTAATAACACTAAATTTTTTCCTCCATGTCCTTATTGCAAAAAGACTAATAATCCAAACAGAGATGTTGGTGGAGACCTGATTCAAAATGTGACAAGTGGGGACAATTAGGACACCTAAAATATGTATGCAAATCTCATGAGTAACAAGAAAAAAGCCAACATTGTTGAAGATCAACAAGAAGAGGAAGAAGAACAACTACTTTCAATGTCATGCTTTATGACCAAAAAACCCTCAAAAGCTTGGATTATTGATAGTGGTTGTACAAACCATATGACTTATGATCGAGAACTCTCCAAAGAACTCAACAAAACTAATATCTCTAAAGTCCAAACACAGAATGGAGCACACCTTACAGTAAAAGGCAAAGAAACATTGGTTATTAAAAGTCATTCAGGTTTGAAATTAATATTTGATGTTTTATACGTTCCTGATATTAATCAAAATTTGTTGAGTGTTGCTCAGTTGTTGGGAAAAGGCTATAAAGTGTTATTTGAAGATAAAAAAATGTGTGATTAAAGATATACACAACAAAGAAGTGTTCAATATTCATATGAAAGGCAAGAGTTTTGCTTTAAATTTGGAGTAGGATGAGCCAATTATAAATGAAGATACAAGTGAAGAACACAAAGATGCATATCTTCAAAAGAAGTTTGATGATCAAGAGAATAATGAAGATGATGAAAAATTACTTTTAAAAGAGAAGTTCAAGACAAATGTTAAAGTGGTCTCACTCAAGAAGGATTGCAACAAAAATCACAAAAAGAAGAAACTCAGCAAAAAGAGAAAAGACAATTTTTGAAATTCAAATTAGGTGATAAAGATATTCAGTCAATGAAGAATCTTGGGAATATTCCTAAATATCTTTAGGAAAATAAATTAGTTTTTGATAAGAATATTTTATTTATATTTCAAATATTTAAATTTAATCCGTTTTGATTATTTTAGGATTTGTTTCCTTATTTTAGAATAGGATAATATCAATATTTGATTTTGTATAACAAATTTTCTATATAAATAGATATTCATGAATAAAATTAGATCATGCTCCTCTGATAAAAAATAAGTCTTATAAAATATTCTCTCAGACAAATATCATAAAATAACTTCATCATTAATCGTTATATGATAATAAAAGATCTTGAATATATTTTAATATTTCTTTGACTAACAAAATCATTTTCTCTCTTATATATATACTTGTATTTTACTTTTATAATATACATTTATTCTTGAAATTACATTCATACACTTTGAACACTTGTTAACTTAAATATCAAAGTGTCTATATAAACAAAAACTCTCACAGTGTGTTTGGATGAGGAATATTGCAAAAAGACTAATAATCCAAACAGAGATGTTGGTGGAGACCTGATTCAAAATGTGACAAGTGGGGACAATTAGGACACCTAAAATATGTATGCAAATCTCATGAGTAACAAGAAAAAAGCCAACATTGTTGAAGATCAACAAGAAGAGGAAGAAGAACAACTACTTTCAATGTCATGCTTTATGACCAAAAAACCCTCAAAAGCTTGGATTATTGATAGTGGTTGTACAAACCATATGACTTATGATCGAGAACTCTCCAAAGAACTCAACAAAACTAATATCTCTAAAGTCCAAACACAGAATGGAGCACACCTTACAGTAAAAGGCAAAGAAACATTGGTTATTAAAAGTCATTCAGGTTTGAAATTAATATTTGATGTTTTATACGTTCCTGATATTAATCAAAATTTGTTGAGTGTTGCTCAGTTGTTGGGAAAAGGCTATAAAGTGTTATTTGAAGATAAAAAAATGTGTGATTAAAGATATACACAACAAAGAAGTGTTCAATATTCATATGAAAGGCAAGAGTTTTGCTTTAAATTTGGAGTAGGATGAGCCAATTATAAATGAAGATACAAGTGAAGAACACAAAGATGCATATCTTCAAAAGAAGTTTGATGATCAAGAGAATAATGAAGATGATGAAAAATTACTTTTAAAAGAGAAGTTCAAGACAAATGTTAAAGTGGTCTCACTCAAGAAGGATTGCAACAAAAATCACAAAAAGAAGAAACTCAGCAAAAAGAGAAAAGACAATTTTTGAAATTCAAATTAGGTGATAAAGATATTCAGTCAATGAAGAATCTTGGGAATATTCCTAAATATCTTTAGGAAAATAAATTAGTTTTTGATAAGAATATTTTATTTATATTTCAAATATTTAAATTTAATCCGTTTTGATTATTTTAGGATTTGTTTCCTTATTTTAGAATAGGATAATATCAATATTTGATTTTGTATAACAAATTTTCTATATAAATAGATATTCATGAATAAAATTAGATCATGCTCCTCTGATAAAAAATAAGTCTTATAAAATATTCTCTCAGACAAATATCATAAAATAACTTCATCATTAATCGTTATATGATAATAAAAGATCTTGAATATATTTTAATATTTCTTTGACTAACAAAATCATTTTCTCTCTTATATATATACTTGTATTTTACTTTTATAATATACATTTATTCTTGAAATTACATTCATACACTTTGAACACTTGTTAACTTAAATATCAAAGTGTCTATATAAACAAAAACTCTCACAGTGTGTTTGGATGAGGAATTTTACAAATTTAAGGAATTTTAAATTCTTGGTATTTGAATTACTTTGATTTCAATTTCTATCATTCTTAAAATATTTTGTTTGGATGAGTCAATTCAAATTTCTTAAATTTTAAATTGTTAGGTTGAATATGATAATTTGATTCCAAAAATTGATTTTAAAAATATATTTATATGTTGAGATTTTTAAATTAAATTTTATAAAAATAAATATTAATCCATTTTTAAATATTTAATAATTTTAAAAATTAATATTAGATAATATTTAATAATTTTAAAAAT